TCTTTAAAGTTGATTGTAGCCTAACTTTTAGAATTGTCTCTATCTTCTTGACTTCTCCGAATTGCCACCTTCAGATTAAAACTAACTTAAATGTAAATTAAATGTAAGAAAAATATAATGGGGAAGACAAATCTTTTACAAATGATGCATTTTCCAGTAGGAAAGTGCTATTAGATGGTTTATGCCTTTCCTTCTGTAATTATTATGGAAGAGGATTCAGTAAAAGGGGGAAAAAAGATGCATTTCCTACCTCTGCACTGAAGTTCTAAAATATATTGAAATTCAAATGACCAGCATTATTGAGGTTTAGTTCCTGCCCACCCACCCGCATTAATTTTTAATAGTACTAATTGAAAAGGCAGTTTTTCTCCTGGTAAGTGGCCTGAACTACTCAACAGAGCATTCCGAATGATGCTTCTTCAGTTACTGATGTCCCTTGCATCACAGCGTTCATTTTTCTTGGCATAAATAAATGGAGGGCTTCAGAGGACCCTTTTAGGGCCCTTGAAACTCCAAGTCTAAGTGGTGTTTAGTGAGTTCTAAGAGCTATTATCTTTAGAAAGGGAATCATCTATTCCCAAAAGCTATTGTTCCTCAGTTTTTATACTCAAATGAAGGAGGAACTTAGATTGACAGAGTCCATCATGATTATGCAGTCTGCTCGTGCGTCCCCTCCAAAGACTGCGCTGCCTGGGGAATCCGAGTGCACTTGACAACTAGATCTTCAGTGTGTCAAAGTGGGAGATGGGGTGAAGATAAAAACCAGATCATTGAATAGAGGAAAGTGATTATTCTAACTGGTTCTGGGAAATGTTTGTTTTCGTTTTTACTTTTGACATGAATCTATCTTACAATCTCTGAACTCACTTAGAGAATATTGTGTACATAGAAAGTACATAGATAAAATAGTCTATAAAATTCTTTGACAGAAACTCTCTCTCCACCAGGTGTAATGTGCATGCACACTTTAATCCCAGCACACAGGAGGTAAAGGTGGGTGGATCTCTGTAAGTTTGAGACTAGCTTGGTCCACCTAGTGAATTCTAGACAAGCAAGGCCCCGGTAGTGAGACCCTGTCAAGGGAGGTGGTGGGGATACTCTTTGTCTTCCGTTCCTCACCATTCATTATCCTAATTTAGGAAAAATGATGACTTTTTTAAAATGTGAATGTGCACTTCATAAGTTCATGTGCACTACATGTATTCTGGTGCCTGCAGAACCTAGAAGACCCCAATAAGTGACTTTTCTCAAGTAGCTTCTTTTTCTTCTTAAAGTTCTATTTCACTGTGTCAGGTGATTGGGAGTTTGGTGTTTTGTTTTGTTTTGTTTTGTTTTTGCTTTTGAGAAAAAGTCTCCAGGATTCCAAACTTACCATGAATTGTATCTTGGAGACTGACCTTGAACTTCAGAGCATCCTTTACCTCCCTAGTGCTGGAATTACAGGCATATATTACCTACATTCAGTTTATGCAATGCTAGGAATCAAACCCAAAGCTTTGTGCATTCTAGGCAAGAACTCTGCCACCCGAGTGATATCCCAAGGCCGGCCAAGGATTCTCTAAAAGGTCTTCAGTGTGCAGTCTCATTGCTGACTTTGTGACTAGCATCAGTAAGAACTCTTAGGAATGTTGTATAGAGCAAGGCAGGCTCACACACAGAACATAAACCACATGCCCAGAAGGCAACAGGCTTCAGCTGCCCGACTCTTGGCCCTTTGAACCCCTCCCATACAGCGCCATGACTACACACTGACATGATTTAAGGGCTCTGGCTCTTAGGTCAGGTAGTCAGCTTCTTGGAAGACCTCAGACATTGATCACCGGTTCTAAGCCCAGACCACTATGTCCAGAGCTCTATAGCCGTCCATCTCATCCTAGAGGCCCCAATGCAGCGGCCTCTCAAATGCAACGTGTTCTCCCCACCAAATCATGCTGCGGTCTTGACCCCTCTAGATGTCTTTCTAATCTGTCCTCTCTCTGTCCCCACCCTCAGCCCTTCTCTACTCTAGAGACTGGAAGGCCTCCCTTTACCTTAGAGTCATCCCATTGTGTCCCCTGGGAGCCTTCCTCTGGTTCCTAAGATCAGAACTGAAGTCCCTCATGGCACCTCAGGCGGCATCCTGAGCACTTGTATCATGTCTCCCCGCCTATCATCCCTCTGGGCTGCTAGTAAACTTCAAAGCATTAGCCACCACTTACCCTTGAGGAAACCTCACCTGACATTTTTACATTGAGGAAAATCTTCCAAACTGTAGCACACAGTAAATTGATGGGAATTTTTTAGATGAAAAGAAGCTACATTTTTTCCCCAAATCTTAAGGGTAGTCGGGGCCAAAGCATGGCTGGAGCTGAGCACTCTCCCCTTGTCTGAACACCTAGTTAGTGGTTTAGCAAGTGGAAAACCCTCTGCCAGACGACCTCCTAGGCAGCTAGCGGAATCTTTCAGGAAGCACCAGCTGGATGCAGAACTGGAGCACACGTGTGTGAATTCACGCAAGTATGACTTGAGTACACGTGCCAGTGGACAGCTCCTCTGAAAGAAGCATTTGCAAAGGTCCAGAGCAAAGGTTCAAAGCTGTCGGTCCACCAGCCTCCTGACCTTGCTGACCAGAGATGAGGCAGCCCGGTGTGGAGCTTGAAGAATAGGGCCTGGGCAGGGAGCCCTGCACTCTCTCAGAAGCCCTAGCACCAAGGACCTGGGGAAAGGCTACCTTTCCTCAGCAGCTCATCCCAAGTTTCCAAGTGAAACTTCTTGTCTCACTGACCCAAGATGAAACAAGATGGTTCTCTAATTGTTTTCAGAAATAGGATCATGCAAGAAGAAGCAGAAGCAGCAGCAGTTTTTTTTTTTGTTTTGTTTTTGTTTTTTTTTTTTTTTTTTGTCGTTGTTGTTTTGTTTTTCGAGACAGGGTTTCTCTGTGTAGTTTTGGTGCCTGTCCTGGATCTCACTCTGTAGACCAGGCTGGCCTTGAACTCACAGAGATCTGCCTGCCTCTGCCTCCCGAGTGCTGGGATTAAAGGCGTGCGCCACCACCTCCCAGCCAAGCAGTCTTTTTTTTTGGAGCTGAGGACCAAACCCAGGGCCTTACATGTGCTCTACCACTGAGCTAAATCCCCAGCCCTAGCAGTCTTCTTTATTCTGATCATATGTAGATTTTAGAATAAACATCTCTTTATTGGTTAAAAAGAAAAAAGAAATAGGATCTTGCTATGCAATCCAAGCCGGCCTTGATTACAGAATGTTCCTGACTCAGCATCCCAAATGTGAGAATAATGGGTGTATGAAACAGGATTTTTGATAATGCTTGGATTTTTAGAACAGGCTAGACACTTTGTAAAGATCACCAAACTGAGTTTTATATCATGTGTGATTGTCACATGCCAGTAATGCCATACTTAGGTAAATATCACAGCTTCAAGGGCTGTGTGGACTACATAAGAACCTGTCTGAGAAATAAATAAAATTTAAAGATTAGATAGACATTTGATGTCATAAAATTATGTTATGCCTTGTTTACATTAGAAAAATTATAGTCCAATAGCATACCTATAGTTCAATCACTTAAGAAGTAGAGACTATCAGGTAGTGGTGCACACCTTTAATCTCAGCATTTGGGAGGTAGAGGCAGATGGATCTCTGTGAGTTTGAAGCCATCCTGGTCTACAAAGCAAGTTCCAGGATAACCAGGACTAGCTACATAGAGAAACCCTGTGTTTATTTTTTTAAAAAAAAGTGGAGATCAGAGAATCCAGAGTTCAAGGCCAGTCTAGGTTACATAAGACCCTATCTCAAAAAAAGAAAAAAAAAATGAAAAGAAAGAAGAAAAGATCACTTTCCATCTAGTGCAGTGGTTCTTGACCTTCCTAATGCTGCATCCATCCCTTTAATGCAGTTCCTCGTGTTGTGGTGACCCCAACCGTAAGATTATTTTCCTTGCTACTTTATAACTGTAATTTTGCCAGTTATGAATGATAATGTAAATATGTTTCCTGGGGGTCTTAAGCGACCCCAAAGGGGTCCTGGACTCACAGGTTGAGACCCACTGATGGAGTGACTCTGTGTCCCTCCTGGCCCTCCTCTGGCAGGGATCCTGGGGTTGTGTCCTTTCTACATTTTTACATGGGGAAACCCCATCTTTGTGGGGGCTGGGGTTAGCTTATGCCTCTGGACCATCACATGTCCAGGTTTATTTTTTAGTAAGTGTGCAGTCAGAAAGTCTGGATCAGCGTCAGAGTACAAGTGCGGCGTGAGTGGCCCAGGGACCGAGAACCGTCACGCTTGCCCTCTGGAGGGATCTCTGTCCTATGGTGAGTGGGAAGGGAGACCAGAAATGACTGGGAAGAGAGAGCTAGAGTGAGGCTGGGAAGGCCGAGGCTGAGAGCGCGCTGGCTGGCTGAAGGGTGGATGGAGAGTGGTACCGTGCTCCAAGTTCGGGTTGTAGGTGGTGGTACATAGGTTTGAGTTTAAGGGCAGAAGTGACTGACTCCCCACAGGGACACCCACCACACACAGGACGCTGGCTGTGGACCGGCTTCAGAGCAGCGCCAGAGGGGGAAGACACAGGAGCCGAGTGGGACACAACCAGCCATTTCCAGAGGAAGAAGGGTGGGCACTGAGAGGGCACCAGGCACCAGGCACCACACGGGCTCCTGAGTCCTCACTGCCAAGGGCGGCTTCTCAGGACCTTGCTAAGCCGTTTTGGCTCGCAGATGGCAGGGGCTGGCTGTGGTGGGAAGAAGAACAGGCCTTCCTCTAAAGGAGGGGTGGCCTTACACCCACAGGGTGGGTGTCATTTGTCAGTTCAGCTTCATGGAATAATGTGGGTACCCTGGGGAGGAGAGGGGGTGCAGCAGAGAGAAGGCCCTTCTGTCCCTTGGGCAGGGCACCCAAAACTGCTCTTTTGAGACCCTAGGGCCCTCTGCCACCCCTCACACTCGTCTCGGGTGGACCCCCTGTGGAATGCTCTAGGTATTTTGTCTTTTTTTTTTTTTTGTCTGAGAAAAATGTTTTAGTCTCCAAAAATAAAGTTTTAATTGATCAGTACATCTACTCCAGTGTGACATTTTTTTCTCCTGGGACAGGGTTTCTCTGTGCAGCCCTGGCTCTTCTGGAACTCGCATTGTAGACCAGGCTGGCCTCAAACTCAAGAAATCTGCCTGCCTCTGCCTCCTGAGTGCTGAGATTGTAGGTGTTCACCACCTCTGCCTGGCAGGAAAACGCTCTAAATCATGCTTTCCTTGATTAAACCACTGTGTTTCCGTGAAAGCAGAAATTATCGTGTGCATCTCTAAAAAGCAGTTTATAACATGGAGTGGTTATAAAGCTACCCTTTAGTTGTTGAATGAACCACGTGGTTACTGCCGGCCTTGGTGGCAAACACACTAATCCCAACCCTCCAAAGGCTCCCCCGGCTGTGCAGAGAGCTCATGCTACGAATCCAGAGCAGGGCTGCGGCGAAGCCGGGCCACACAGTACCTCAGATCTCCCACATGTCTAACGTAACCAGTTTTGGCTGCTCTGTTGAGAAATGCCTTGTCGCCGCCGTTCTTCATGCCCTTTACAATCAGTTAGGTGACGCTGTATGGGCTGGGCTGTATCCCCACTAAAATACTGACTTTGACGCGTCCCCTGGGGGACATTTCCATCACCACAGGTATCTGTCAGGTTCCCTTTGTGGAGCAATATCATCTGCTTCCCTTCACCTTACCAGGGCAAGTCTGTTCTCCATCTCTAAATTTCCTGGATCTATTAAGGACTCAAACAGCTTAAAACTTTGGTGGGTTGCTGCTTTCACTGAGCATAATTCACTCTTGTATCTTCCATCTACAATAGTTCCTTTGTTCTGTTTTGTTTTCATCCTGGAAAAGTCTCACTGTAGCCCAGGCTGGCCTCACACTCACAGTCCTCCCATCCCAGCCTTTGAAGGGTTGGGATTAGTGCATTTGCCACCAAGGCCGGCAGTGGCTCACTCATCTCTTCCAGTGACTACGTGGTGCCTACCACAGCCTAACTTCAACAACCAAACCATAGCTGGGTCATTTCTGGTCAAACCACTACAGACATTAATGTGCAGTTTTGGGTAAACGTGCATTTTTATTTATTGGAATAAATGTATCTAAGCAGCCATTGGGTTGTATGTAGTCTCCAGGCCATCTGTACCATCTCACGAGCTCACCAGCAGCATAAGCCAGTTCCTCTTTGTCCTCGGCCCCCGCCCCCCATGAGTGTGTGCTGACACTGTCTGTTCCCCGGGGGCTGGCGATACTGACCACTGTCTATCCACTTACCATCTGTCTTTCCCGTTTGGTGACCTCTTCAAGTCTGTCTCACTTTGCAGTCTATTTTGTACTGTTGACTGATTTCAGAGTCCTTTACGTTGCAAGTACAGACCCTCTGAGGAGTTGGGAAGTTTCCGATGTTTTCTCCTAGTCCTTAGCTGCCTGTCCATCCTCTTAGTGGACTGTTCCTGGAGCCAACACTTGGAATTTCACAAGTCCGACATACCACTTTCTCCTTTTGCACACCCCTCGGGATTTTTGTGGTTTTTTTTTTTTTTTTTTTCTAAAATTCTTATAGTTGTGTGCTTTATACTTAAGCCTGTGGTGCAGTTTTAGTTTGTGCCTGAAAGTGTGAGGCTGGTCTCTGGAGGTCCGGCTGTCTGCTGCTGGGGCTCTGCTGCCCTTGGAGCATCCACCCTGCTCCTCTCAGTGTTTGAGCTCCAGTCCCTTCTGACAGCAGTCTTGAATTCTGTGCTGCTTACATCTGGGCTTGAGTGGAGGGACCCATTTCCCCACCTTTGCGTCCTTTTCCAAAGCCTTAGTCTACTCTTTCTGTCTTCCACACATTTTCAAAAAGTCTTGTCTATAGAAAGAAATCTTGCTGAGGCTTTGGGATTCAGCGGTATGTATTTTTCCGCATGTAACCCCTACAGGTTTTGTGAGATTTACCTGTGTATTTCATTATTTGGATTGTAATGGCTCTGTGTTTCATTTTCATGTTCATTCCTCGTATATGGAAGTACAATTAGTTAGAATTTGGGGTTTTGGTTTTTGATACATTTTACAGCTTACTAAATTCCTTTATTAGTTATAGAAGCTGTTGAATGAATTCCTGGATACTCTCCGTTACAGGTTCGCTTCCTCTCGCTTCCTCTCGTCCTGGCTGTAGACTTTCATTTCCGTCTTGTTTTGGTTGTCTGCCTCGCACTCTGGGTGCTGCTGGAGGGAAAGGCGCCTTCTCCGCCTTGCTCCTGTCTCAGAGAAAGCAATGCTGACCCCTGGGGTGAGCTTTCCTGGTGTGCTTATGGAAAGAGCCACCTAGGGCTTTCATGAACCTGGTAGGTTCCAGCAGCTTCTCCCCGTAAACAGATGGGGTCTCAAGGACGCCGGTTGGCTGACTGAATAATAGAAAGCACAGGATTTGAAGTAGGTGTATTCACATTTAAATTTCGACTCCTCTGCCTTCTTATTTACAAATCTCAAAATCCATTTCCTCCTCCACAAAAGGGAGGCCCGGCTCCATTGCTGATGGATATGCAAGCCTTTGTGGCTCTGGCTGTGGTGAGGAGGAGCCTTGCTGTGACTCCGCCCAGCACTAAAACGGTTCTGTCTCGGTGGAAGACTGGTCAGTTCTCATGAGTCACAGTGTTTGCATTGGGGATCTTTAAAGGACTTGGTGGTCCACATGTATCTTCCTAGGACTGATGCCTGGAGGTCCACTACTCGGGTTCATTCCCCAGCCACAGCAAGTCACTCTGAGTTACCCTAGATGACATCATCTGAAAACCTGAGTGCTGGCCAGTCCTATTCCCAGGATTGTTGTGGATGAAATGAGTGGATGTATGTATCATGTCGAACAGTGCCTGACCCGCTAGCCTTGATGACGTGGGAGCTGTGAACATGACTATGACGTTAGGACACGTTCTCATTTGTGGAACACCTTTCTTAAAAACAAAATTGTTTACTTTGCAGATTTTGTAAAAAATGGATTTGACCAACCATGGACTTATTCTACTGCAGCAGTTAAACGCTCAGCGCGAGTTTGGGTTCCTGTGTGACTGCACGGTTGCCATCGGCGATGTGTACTTCAAGGCACACAAATCAGTTCTTGCTTCATTCTCCAATTACTTTAAGATGTTGTTTGTCCATCAGACCAGGTAACTAAAGCGGTTGATAATAATCTAATGGCTGTAGACCTCCTGACGCTGGGTCCCTCTTCCCACCGAGCACACTCTTGGCCTTCATCCAGACCATGGGTCTCTGCCTCTCCCTAGGGTCTAGGTGCCCACCCCACTCCCTCATTAGCCCCCTGTTCCTTGTCTTTCTTGGTTATTAATTCTTTCCTTTGTACTTGCGAGTCCCCTACCTACCTGGCTCCAGGCAGCCCCTCCCCTTCCAAGCTGCTAGGGTGTGAATATCACCTTTAAATGGCAGTTACAACCTGGCCCCATCAGTAAGTAAGCCCTCCAGGCCCAGGCCCCTGAATACCTGACTTTGAATACTTAGTTTCAAATGAGAAGCTGGAGGGCACAAATTCCATTTCCCTCTTTTCTAATGTAAAAATCTCTGTCTTGGCTCTCCTGGTTTTTTTGTTTTGTTTTGTTTTCCTTTGATTTCTCCTATATGAGATTCTTAGAGAGAAAAATCTCTGGGTGTGTAAAGAAAACAATCTCCCCCACCCTCCCTCCTCCCTCTCCTCCTCCCTCCACTCCTCCTTCCCTCCCATCTCTCCATTTTATTCTGTTCATTTCTCTTCTCTCCCCCACCCCTCCCTGCCTGCCTGGTCTGGGCAGGAGACCTTCCTTGACCTTGCCAGCCCCTGGAATACAGCCCTGTTTGCTGTTCCTTGAACCTTCTTGAAAGGGCCACCTGGACCTCTGCGGGTCTGCTCATCCCACACTCTTCCTGTCCATTTGCACTGTGGTTTCCTGTCTCCGCTGCAGTCACGTCCCAAAGGGCACCTCTCCACCCGAACACTGCCACCCCCCTGTTCTCCTGCGGGCCTCACCTGTGACCAAATGTCCTTGATTCTTCTCCTCTGCGCTGCTCCTTGGGCCTCCTGGGCCCCTGCTGGCCTTGCACGCTGACTGTGGTGGGTGGCTCATCCTCTCAGACTTTGCCTTCTCCGGTGGAAACTTTCAAGTTTCAGCTCCAGCCTCCATCTCTCTGTCTACAGAACCCAGTTCCTAAGTGCCCTGCCCCGACTGCCCCCGCTGTTTTTCTCATTGGTCATGGATAGAGCTGAACAAAGGCTCTCCCCCAGAAGAGCCCTGGCTTGCCTGTGTTCTGTCTTCAAGTAGCCCAAGCTTCAGATCTAGTTCAGATCATATCGTTTCGCTCTCCAGGTCGTATCTCTTCAATACATGTCCCATGCGCTCTGTCTTTCCTACCTTGTAACTATTCATTCCCCACATCACTGTCAGATTAATATTCCTACAGACTGCTGGGGTGAGGCATGCCTTTGACCTGAACTCAGGCAAGGGCAAACTGAGCGGATCCCTGTGCACAGCAAGGCGGCTGTCTAAGCTCCTTAGTCAGGCTCCTGGAAGTGAGACTCTCACTTAAAGAGTGACTGACCCTGATCACCTGAGCATCTCTGGGACACCATCATCTTCTCTTTGACCTGCCTGACTGTGGCTCGCTAACCTGAACCAGACCGAGTGTCCAGTCCCCTCCCTGATGTCCCTAATCCCTGCCTTCTTCTTAGTTAAGTAGACAAAAGCTTCAAGGATGACTGTGTTGTGCTGTTTACAGCAGCCTTTCCTCTATGCCGCTGCTCACCCCTCCCCCACTTGTAAATTGCTGGCACTCACCCCCCACCCCACCCCCACACACTCGTAGGGAGTGGCTGAGCAGTGAGTTTTACCGATGTCCTGGGACAGACAGGGTACGCCTGAGGTGTGTGCTTCTAATAGCCACTTGATAAACATTGGGAGGAGCAGAGGGGCCAGGAGGAGGTGACTTAGCTGTGAGGAAGACTACGGTCTTCTAGCGCTGAGAACATTTCCTTCAAGCCAGGCATGAGCGATGCGTTCCTGTAATCTTAGCAGTTGGAGGCTGAGGCGATGAAGTTGTCTGGTCTAGACCAGCCAAGACCCTACCTGAAAATAAATCGGCTTATATACTGGGCATCCTTTATCCTTTAACATCATTACGTTAAAGATGTTATTTGCAGCCATTAATCTCAACACAGTAGCTGGGCGGTGGTGGCGCACGCCTTTAATCCTAGCATGCAGGAGGCAGAGGCAGAGGCAGGCAGATCTCTGAGTTGGGGGCCAGCCTGGGCTACAGAGCGAGTTCCAGGAAAGGCACCAAAGCTACACGGAGAAACCCTGTCTCAAGGGGGAAAAAAAATCTCAACACAGTGAATTGAATGACCTTGAAAAAGAAATGTCTAGCTAGGCAGTGGTGGCGCACACCTTTAATCCCAGCACTCAGAGGCAGAGGCAGGTGGATCTCTGTGAGCTCAAGGCCAGCCTGATGTACAGAGTGAGTCCCAGGACAGCCAGGGCTACACAGAGAAACCCTGTCTTAAAAAAAAAAAAAAAAGAAAAGAAGCGTCTTTAATTTTGAAGTGTAAAAGACAATGTAATGGGTTTTAATTAGATGCAAGAAACATCCCTTATTTTATGTGTAGGGCAGTGAACAAATGTCTAGGGAAGGGAAGTGATCTTTGTGTCAGTTTCTGCCGAGGCAGCAGCCTGCCTGTGCCACCGAGGCAGTTACGTCATCACCCGTCGCCAGGCCTTTCCGCAGTCAGCTGTGCACATACGCACCCCTTAAAAGTGCCCGCCAGGCACAGCTCGCTCTCCTGCCTCCTGCTCCTCGCTCGCTCGCTCGCTCCTCTCGCCTCTCTTCTTCCTCTTGTCTCTTCCCTGTTCTGTCTGTCCTCCTGCCTCTCTCACGTCCCCACTCCAACATGGCTTTCGCTCTTTCACTGCCGCCCTCCCCCTCCCCCAGGAAACCTCCTGCACCAACTCTGTTGTGCATGGTATGTTTGCTTAGTGGCACGCCTTGGCAGGACCCACCGAAAGGTGCCCACTTTGCCTTGCCGCCTTGCCTTTTTTTTTTTTTTTTTTTTTTTTTTTGGATTTTGGGAGAATTTTTTTTAGTTCAT